GTCTTTAGAACACTCATTACTAAGCATTACTTGCAGTTTTTTTAATCGTACGAACTCGTCAATACCAACTACCTTATCTTTAAGATACAAGTTCCTCCCATTTCATTCCATTCCCTCGCAAAAAATGCGTGGCATGATATTATAATCGCAGTCAAATGTGACATAAGAAAACAATAACCAAAGAAAGTAAATACAATATCTCATCCCAAAGTAGCTTATGGCATAAAAGAGTTACAATATTAAACTTCGAACCTTAATCGTCAGAACTTCAGAAGTCGATCATTCATGTATTCTAAGGACTTGCAAGAAAACCTCATCAGGTCGTGTGCGGAATAAGCAAGTTAAGTACAAAATGAACAAATCCAATAATAAGCTTATCATCTAAAGGAGGCGTTTTGAAATCTGTCTTCCTTAAGCCGTGGGGTTCAAAGTGAATAAATGCTCAGAAGGTGCATTTGTATTTACTATTAACAGTGGAGAACATCGGCCCACTTCCTGAGGAATTACAATCAGAAATATTTTAAGGATGAATTGATCACTGTTGTTTCACGATATGAGCAATGTGCGATATGTATTATCCTCCCTGATAATTGGGCAAGTCTACACCTCCTGTAATTAACCGTGGAAGGATAACTGCAAATGTGTACTTACAGTTCACATTCCTTACAGATGCAACGTTACCGCTTGTCCCCGGGTGCTGTCCAGGTGCATGGTCTGGTTCATACTAACAGCTATCATTTGTTAGGTTTGCCTGGATCGTGAGCTTGAATCATTACTTTTCCCTGATAATCACGTACAGGTCTCTTAATGAAAGCAGTAGACAACGTAGTTTTTTACATTGGAAATTATCTTAGATGCGTCCTTTCCGGGTCTAGCTGTAAACAATAAATAGCCCTTAAAGATAACTGACGTGCATGTTTATATTTTGCTTCTTCCTTGTCAACGTTCGTGAGATTTGAAGAGCGGTAACAAAATCGCATGTTATGTGGAGGTGGACCAATAAAAATGATTGTTTACTATCCACGAGCGAACACTTCAGAAACATTTGAACGAGTGGAACAAGCAGAAGATACTTGCTAATTTCGCAAAATTGAAAGTGGTAATAATCTGTTAAAATTAGGTGAATGTTTACCAATCCTGAAATGAGCGTTCTCCAAAAAAGGACAAAATATTGACCTCATAGGGAGTGATCAGTACGTGTCTGTATTTATGATTTGCCGCCCATCGATCAACAAATGCAGCAATGCGTAGAAAACATAAACAAGAGAAACTTGAGCAGAATACATCAGCTCAAAACCGATAGCAATGGCTAAGGGTTAACGTTAAATAAATGAAATGTCTCAGAACCATACTTTGTTTAGTGATTGTGAAATGATTACTACGCGTTCCAGTTTATACATCACCGATTGACTTCCTACGGAACCTGAACCAGGGCAAATATTAACCTTCTGAACATCGTGGTGTGAAAACAGTTTTATTTAATAAGAAAGAAGGAATCGCCTGTAGAATCGTCTTTTGAAATAGGGAAGATCCGTTTTCAGAGGCTTCGGAGGCACATTGCATTTAAAATAATATTGACTTTAGGGACCCGCCTCCATGAACTCGCTCAAAGTCTGTTAATACTTCAGAAAGATTCCGCTGTCCCTCTGTTAGCGAATTTTCCATTCCACCAAAACAATATTTTCAAATAAAACTATAACGCTACATAATAAAACTTGGACTTTAATCATTAGCCTGTTCAAGATTTCCACTAATTCCTCTTCTAATAATAAATTTACAGGTCCTCATATAGTCTTGTGATACAGCCACAGGGAATTGTGTTCTCTGATGTGGTTCACTGTTTAATTAGTCTGCGGGGGTCGGGGGTGGGGGGGGGGGGGGAGTGAAGGATAAATAAAGTACTTCTGAATTAAAGGCACTAATCCTGTTATTATTTGCCATCACTTCGATGTGAATACTGGTATTAGTGAATACTATATCCCTATAAATGGCCATTGTTGATATTCCAACGTTTGCCAACAATAGTAAATGTCTAGTTTAAGCAAGATTACAGTTATCAATGGAATATTTTTGAATGGAATATAATCCTCAAAATTGCAAGTCAACACCGTGCCCAGTTCAGTTCTACTGGACATGGTTCATTTAATAGAAAGTGTGTATTTTGAATTAAAACGCGCAAACTCGAAAGGTTTTCATAGTTGACTCTAGGTGGCATTAATTCCCCATTTCCTACCACTGTACAGTTAACAACTTGCCATTTTCTAAAGATTAAAATCGCATGCATTTCCAGAAGCTTTAGGCTTATTTTTGTCCTTGTTTTACCATAAACCAGACTGCTTTCTTGTACAATTGATCCGCTGCAAAACAGATTTTGTTGTGAAAGAGACTCCTCGCTGGCAGGCTGAGCGCGCCGAGCTTTGACATCTGGCAGCCTGGAGCTCCTGGGACAGATCCTACTCTCCATAGACCCCCTGATTGGAGTCTAATAGAATATTTGCAATCTCTCCGAGGTACCTTTTACCCCTCACTGGCAATTCAGGCATTAACTGCCAAAGCATTAGCAACAAAGTCATGTCTCTATAACCACTAAGCAAAGCAGATCGAGTCTGTGGCTTAAAATAACTTGCATCACATCGTGCACGTGTGTTAGTTGAACACGTTTTATTTGTTATTTTGCAATAGAAATACGCGCCTCTTAGTTAAAGAAAACTTCTAACGATACCTTTAACCGCCTCTTTACACCATCATAAAACATCATGATCGGGGAACAGACAATATCGAATGATAACACACGCAGGATTTTCTGCAAAGGTTTTAACCTTTCTATGATGCCACTTATTCAGCAATAATAATCAACAATGAAGTCAATAGATCGCCTTTTATTTTAAAGACTGCGTAATCTTACATATAAAGTAAAATGTACCGTGTTTTTTCTTTTAAAACTATGAAAGCTGCACGTTATTTGAAAAATACAGTTAAGAGCCTATAGATTTTATTCCAAAAACACGATGTTTATCCCATGCTAAGAACTCAAAAGCCAGTTTTTTTTTCACAGATAAAGCTATCCACGTCCAAAGAGATATTAAACAAATACCCAGAAGCAAGCCTGCAATGAAAACATACACTACAGAAGTCAAATATTACTAAAATGGCTCAACTTCGAAAGAATAGTCAAAGAATTTCTTAATGAAATAAGTCATTTAATAACCAGTATGTCAATAACTTAATATTAAATTACATCAATAAATAAAAATGTAAAACCTCTCCAGAGCAAAGAAAGAAACAATTTTTAAGACACCATATACAATACAGAAATCGTGCGCTTGTCACGTAAAAATGTTTCTGTTTCAACAGCAACACATCAAAATCTGTAAGAATATATCTATATGTGCATCAAGTCCATTGGATGATATTTACAATATTCAGGTACACACCCAGGTACCTTTATTTTATTATTTCTTTTAAAAAGATAGGCTAGTACCAAACAACAAAGTATTTCAGCAGTGCATCAATCGCCCGTGATCGTGAAAATGTGCAGGATTGTTTTAACTTTCATTGACGCACCTCTAAACCTCTTCCCTTCAGTGAACAAAACACAAAGCATGAATTAAAAATAAACTGTATTCGAAATCGAAACAGACCCCACGCCCGTTTCAGCTATGTTGCATTTTTAATGATCGATCGGCAAAGATGAGCATCTTTGATCAGATATTACACTCAGGATTTGAACCTTTTTGCGCGTTGTCACAGAATGTAAGAGGGAATCCCAGGAAGAAAATGCCGAAATAAATATTGGTTTAAATTTTATACATATATAAGCGCGTGTTAAATCCTTTTTAATTTTCCTTTTATTTGGGACGGGGTGGGGGGGTGGGGGAGAGGAGTGGAATGCGGCGTGGTGTCAGCCGAAAATTAAAGATTTACATTTCTCCTCGAATTTTCATCCTTCGTTAGAGATATTTTTCAAGAAGAACAAATACACGGACATTTCTTACTTGCCCGATCATTTTTTCTTACACTATTTGAACCAACATACTATATTAAATATTCAATAACCCATTTATTTATTCGGCTCTTATCACAACTTGAATTAAACAGGCGGAATTAATTCGAGTGAACACGAAATTAACTTCGGAGACGATTTGAATGAATAATTCAGGCTCAGGTTATTTGGTAGTAATCTAATAATAGCCTTCAGACACTGGGAGAAGTCTCCAGGCTGCTCACACAGCCATTTTCATTCACCGAGTAGAGACCTTTTTTTGTTGGCGAGGGGGAAAGGGATAGCAAACTGAAATTTAAAGGGACATTGGAAGAGATCAACCAGGTTTCTAAGGAAACAGTAGCCATTTCAGAAAGATAATGACTACTGTGCGCAGTGGTATAATGTGCCAAAAATTAAGACAAAATTGTATACTTCTTATGATGATGGAAGAGTTCTGTGGGAAAAGGATTAGTGCAATCCTTAAACAATCAATAGCAAGAGATTGCACGAGAACATATCAAATGCTAGAGTAAAAGTCCTGCTCTTTACTGCAGTTTAGCAGATCAGATGTGTCTGTACCAGTGTATTACAAGGCGCCGAGGGAACAGAGGTGTAGAAAAGGTGACACTTGGAAGAAAAAAAGAACGAATACAATCCAAAACATGAAGCTCAAATCAATGCCACAGCAAGTTTGCCAACACTATCATTTCAGTTCAGCCGGTCGTTATTCGTTTGTTGTAAACGTTGCGACTTACGATTGTTTGTTAAAAAAAGACATTGTTTCATTTGTTCATCTGTATAACCTGAAATTCTCAGTCTAGCCCAACTCACAATCAGGTTTTGGCGAGTCCTGTTTCGCTGGCAGTGGGTGGCATTGAGAAAGAAAGATAACTCTTACTTGTTGGCGATCAGGTCCTTGCAGCAAAGTCCAAGTGAACTCTCTCCATCAGGGGGAGTGAGGGAGAGAATTTACAGTCTAAGGTTCTCCCTCGCTCTTTTGCCCCAAGGAGTCCCGCTAGTGGCCTGCGGAGTATTTCATCCGCTTCTGTTTCTGCCGCTGGTTGCAGAACCAGACCCTGACCACGTTCTTCTTGAGGTCCAGCTTCTCGGCGATGGCGGCGATCTTCTCGGAGGACGGCCGAGGTTGGATGGCGAAGTAAGCCTCCAGTGAGCGCTTCTCCGGGGCAGCGATGGACGTGCGCTTCCTCTTCTTGTCGGCGCCGTTGAAGAGCTCGGGCTTGCTGAGCTTCTCCCGGTGGGACTTCTCGGCCTCCTCCAGCCAGGCCTGCAGGATGGGTTTCAGCGCGATCATGTTGTTGTGCGACAGGGTCAGCGACTCGAAGCGGCAGATGGTGCTCTGACTGAGGGAACCCACGCCGGGGATCTTCAGGTTGGCCAGGGCCGAGCCCACGTCCGCCTGGGTGACACCAAGCTTAATGCGCCGCTGTTTGAAGCGCTCGGCGAACGCCTCCAGGTCGCGGGGGTCGGCGTCCACCTCGCCCAGGCAGCCCGGCGCCAAGCCTCCGTGCGAGGCGCCCAGGCTGTGGCCGTGACCGTGAGCAGCGGCGGCCGCTGCCAGGCTCATGGCCTGGTGCATGTGGTTGATGGCGGCCATGTGAGGGGGTGGTGGAGGAGGTGGAGGGGGAGGAGGAGGGGGAGCGGAGGGAGGCGGCGACACCACGCTGCCGTCCGGCCCGGTGATGGTGGGCAGCCCCAGACCCGGCGACATGTGCTCCAGTAACTCGCCGTCCAGGTTTTGGGGGTTGTGATGGTGGGGGTGCGGCTGCTGAGGGTGATGGTGATGGTGGTGGGGATGGTGGTGGTGCGGGTGGTGGTGCGAGGGAAGAGGAGGAGGGTGACTGCTGATGGACGACGAGCTGGAGCTGCACGGGATGCTGTTCATGGTGTGGTAGCTGGCGTCCGGCTTGAACGGCTGGTTCTTGCTGCTCGGAGCTCCAATCTCCACCGCCGCCAGCGCCTCAGCTCGGCCCACCAAACTTTCATCCAGCCCGCCGAATATATTGCTCTGCAATTGCAAATAGAATGCAGACATTCCTGTCAGCAGGGAATTCTCTCCACTCCAGGATTAAAACATTTCCAGAATGTTAAAAACACACACATATACACACACCACCCAGGTCATAAAAATTAATATGAAAGGCAAGCCAGTATGAATACATAAGTTGAAAGTATCCGAGCTGTTGGGTGATTTGCTGTGCAGACATGAAAAAAAACATCAAGTAGACAGAG